ATCAACTTGGGTTGCTCAGACAGGAGGATCAAAAGTTCAAAGCCAGTCTCAGCAATGTATTAAAGCCCTAAACAACTTAGCAAGACTTTACCTCAAAATAAAAAATAAAAAGGGCTGGGGATGTAACTCAATGTTAAAGTGCAACTGGGTTCAATCTCTAATACCAAAAAATTTATGACTGAGGTCTTTTATAACAGGAGGCAAATGAAATTGGAACATTAGTTTAAGAGATTTGTTCCCCTTCTACTGATCTGGAAACTTGGGCTGTAGATTAGAATTTTGTTCCTCCAAAGTCTGGGGGAAATGTGTGTGCACTTGGGTAACTGAGTGTGCATATGTGTACTTGTCATCATAGTGAATTATGTGCTTGTGTGGGTGTGGAAAGGCACRTGGGTACTTGCATGGGGTAGGTTTACAACACCCAGAGGAAAGAGGCTCTTTGGGACTTTGGGACTTCCTAGTTACTCATATCACTTTGGAAGCCATTTTAAACCTATCTTCATTAGCTTTAAAAGTTTTTATGGTGAACAGGATGAAACCTGGAGGCATTGTGGAAGTCTGGGTGGCTTGGCTGCTAGCTCTCAATCAGTTTTGCTTTGCTAGAAATTGTGGGCTGAAGGCCAGGGAGGAGCACTGAAGCTTGAGGTCAGAGGGTGAGGGGAGTCCAAGGAACCACAATCCCTCCTCCCTCCCTCCCTCCCACAAGTCCCTTACTAGGAGGCCAGCAGAGTGGAACTGAAGGCTTGAGGGAGTATCTGGTTCCTGGCAATGTTACAAACTTCAAGCACCTGTGTGACACAAAGAGATGGAATGGCCAACTCCTAGTGCAAGGTATTTGAGTCGTGAGTTTGGATTTGAAAATTAGTTGAAAGGTGAAATATTTGTTTGTAGAGCTGCAGTTATCTCAGACCCTCCACAGCTTTGAGAAAGTTCCCTTCAGCTCTCAGACCCTCCACAGCTTTGAGAAAGTTCCCATGCTGCATAAACTTTCCTCTTGACTCTTCTTCTGCATACCTTTCGTTGTACACACACAGTGGTCGACACAGCCAGCCCTCATCATCACCTCCTGAAGGCAACACCCACAAGGCTCATCAAAGCCCTTTCTCAGCCCCCGGTTGGCTTATCTGCCTCTTAATTTCCTATGTATCTAGTCTTCACCCCMAAATATTATTGGCCCAGCCTGCCCCATACAGCACTTGTGACCTATCATTACTTTGCTCAGTCATAACCTACCCAATAAAATCCAAACTCCTTGTTTGGTCACTGTGCCCACAATCTGTCCTAGTATCCTCTTCCTCAGAGCAGCAAGAAGTCATTATTTGCCACAGTTGGAAGTCTTTGGTTTAAATTTCTTGTTTCATCCAGGCTCTGCTGTCCTTCAAATACACCTTGCCAGCTGGGTGTGGTGGTACACACCTGTAATCCCAGTGACTGAGTTGGCTGAGGCAGGAGGATCACAAATTTGAGGCCAGCCTCAGCAAATTAGTGTAAGACCCATGAGCAACTTACTTAGCAAGACCTTGTCTCAAAAAAATAAAAGGGACTGGAATGTGGCTCAGTGATAAAGTGCCCCTCGGTTCAATGTGCAGTACCAAAAACAAACAAAAATGCACCTTGCCCATTCCTGTATCTATTCTTGTATATAAACTAGTCTTCCTATCTACAATGTTTGTTTGTTTGTTTGTTTTGGTACTAGGGATTGAACTCGGGCACTCTCCTAGTGAGCTACATTACCAGTGTTTTTTATTTATTTTTAAATTTTGAGACAGTGTCTTGCTAAATTACCTAAACTGGCCTCACACTTGCAATCCTCCTTCTTGCCTCAGCCTCTTGAGTAGCTGGGATTAAAAGTGTTCCCAGTTCAAGAATGTCCTTAACAGCTTCCCCAGTTTTTCATAGAACTCTGCCCAGCTCATTGCATCTCACAGAGATTTCTTACCTGAAATTCTCAACTTCTTCCAGTTGGATCCTCTTACCAATATTTAGACCTTGTATAGTGACTGTTTTTCTGTTTTCAACTTTGTCTTCAAGATGAATAACCTTCTAGGTGGCAGGAACTAGCCTGAGAACTCTGGGTACCGAAGAACCCTTCTCTGCTCAGAGCAGGCCTTCAGCAATTTAGTTAAACGACTATGCAAGTACAGTATGAATCTTCTATTGAGTCAAGTAGGGAGGCTTGGCCTCTGGAACCAGTGTAAAAAGCCAATTGAACAACATCTGAATTCACATTTGTAAGTGGTGGGATATGGAATTTTTGCTGAGGCTGGCTTTGAACTCATGATCCTCCTGCTTCAGCCTCCAGAGCTGCTGGAATTACAGGTGTGCGCCACTGTGCCTAGAATTAAATTTGTTTTAATTAGTTATACATGACAGTAGAATGCACTATGATACATCATTASGTAAATGGAGTATAATTTCTCATTTTCCTGTTTGTACATGATGAAGAATCCCACCTATTGTGTAGTTATAGATGTATATAGGGTAGTTTTTTTTTTAATGTACCTGCTTAACCCATAAATAACTTTTTAGTGATCATTTCCCAAGCAATGTGAAATGGTTTGATTTCCTACTGCAGAATGGGAGTGGGTCAAGGTCCTGGGGTCTTTGCCTGTGATGCTCAGCTCTATAGCCCAGAGTGAGGGTGGACAGATAAGTCCCTGCACTAAGACTTCTGGGAGGAGCAGCTTATAAACTGCAGCTCATGTTGCTATAAAGTTTTTGTAGTTAGGAAAGTGATGGAAAGTATGGCAGTTGTGTTTGGAGGATATGCAAATGCATTGTTTTTATGTCCTTCAAGTTTTTCCTAAAAAAAAAGCTCAGGGTCTTCAGCTGGTTCTAAATTTCTTTCCTCAGCTAATGCCCTCCTTTCCCCTATCCCCTCCCTTTCATTTCAAGTCTAGCCCCAGCTGGCATTGAGGTCAATTGGGAATTTAGGAGGTCATGAATGTCTGAAATAAAGGTGTAAAAAAGGGGAGGAGGAATTGTTTGGGCTTTAAGACACCGGAACCAGCAAGCTTCCTGCTAAACCATTTGCAGCTTTTGCAAACAGCCTTAATGTCATCAGCGCCCCACTGTGGGATTCAAAGCTAAGCTGGTCACAATAGTTAACGCCTTCTTTGACCAACCTTTTTATATTTGATAACTATTCTCTTCCATCAAGAAGGTTCCGCTGCTTTGATTTTAACGAACAGCCCCTTGGCGTGTAGAAGTCCGGGGTAGGGGTGATTCGTTCTGCTCCTCAGCTTTGAAGAGTGAGTAGGTTTTCAAGACCTAGAAAGAAGGGCTTGGAGGCGGGGACGGAGAGTAAGAATTCTGGAGGTCCCTATGGGTTATCTTGAAAGTTAGCGACGCTTCAGGTTCAAAATTGGGCACAATGACCTCCTCCCCTGGGCAGCTGGCCCCGAGGCAATAGCGGAGCAGCTCTGCCTTCGGCCACATTGAGGAAACCAGTTTCCAAGAGCGCGCTGAGGCTGTGSGTATCTGCGCGCCAGAGGATCTATGTCCACGCGGGACCCCACAAGCCGCCAAACACAGGCCTGTGGATTCCTTTCCACCCAGCCGGGAACCGGGTGCCCTTGGGGAACCCTCCCACTCTTGTCAACTTTCGCGGCCCCAGGGCCGGAGGAGGGCGCCTCTCCCGGCGAGGACGAGCTCGGTACTTAAGGCGGCTTGGCAGGGCCGGCACTCCTCAGTCGGAGCGCGCGGCGGCGGCAGCGGCGCACCGTGGAGGGAGGCGCGGCGACGATAGGAGCCGGAGGAGGGGCATGGAGCCGCCGCGGGCCTGCTGAGCACCAGAGCGCGGGCAGCCGGCGGCACGGTGAGCGCGGGCCGGCCACCTCGGAGGGCGGGCCGCGCGGGGCTGCGCTGAGGGCCCTGGGAACCCGGCTCTGGGGATACCTTCTGCCGAGCCCCAGGGGACCGTGTCCACAGCTGGGTGGCCAGCTGGGGCCGTGACAGCTCCAGGCTTCTCGGCGGCGATTCCTGCAGCCACTTCCCCACTGACCCCTCCTCCCTTTCTTCCTCYAGCTTCTCCTCCTCCAGCCGCTCCTCCCTTCTTCCCTTGCGGCTCCTGGTTTGTGAATGAATTAGGAGGCGGACGACCGTACGGGGCACGAGGCTGGTTGGAGTACCCCTCCCCCATCCACGCCCGCCAGGGTCTTCACACCTGTGGGGACACCAATTCCCAGAGCTCTGGTTCCTGCGGGTCAGCCGGGCCACGGCTGCACGTCCGCCAGACTGAGCTTCCTTTCCTTTGCCGGCTCAGAGGGACCTGAGGGCGCCCAGGCGCAAGGCAAGGAGCCCCCATCTCGCGCACAAGTTTCCATTCCGCTGCATGAGGGCCCCGCACCAGAGCGCACCTGTCAGCGGGAGAGACGCTGCAGACCAGGCAGTCCCTTAAAGTTTTTTCGGGGGGTAGAGAGGTAGGGAAGCGAGTGCCTTTGGCTGGAGGGTTTTCCTTCAGTAGTTGGCGGGACCGGGTTGGGGGAAAGCCCCAACCTCGTGCCCTTGAAACCGAGTGCGCGTTAGCCAGTTTGGGACCGGCTCTCGTGAACCCTTTCTGAGCGAAGGGTATGGGGGTGGGGTGGAGGTTGGCGATCCAGGCTGTAGGATCACCTCGCCTCCGCCGGCTTGGGGTGACTGCAAGGGCAGGGGACCTCAACCAGAGACCGCACCAGAGCCTGATTGCACATAGGGAATTCGGCAGCAGGACCTTCTTGGGTCCTCCGAGAGGAGGGTACAGAGGTAGTGCCTCTAATTCCTGTGGGGGAGGGGTCCTGCCCGGGGAAATAAGGGACTGGCGACACCGGGGATGCCGCCTTTGTCTGCAGATACACTTTTGCCAAGGTAGCTGGAGCCCCGGGAAGATGAGCAGGGTTTAGTACGATTGTGATTCCTTGGGTTTTCCGTTCCTTCCCGGCTGGGTCGTGGGAAACCGGCACGTGGGTGTGGCCGGCGCCGCTTTGCCAGTACCCGAAGCCCAGCCGGGTGAGAAGCTTGGCGAGTGCCTTCGCGGCCGCATTGACCTGGTGGGCATAGCCTCCGTCACTGCGCCGAGGCGGGGCGCCAGGGCCTGGCAGGTTGCTGGGTTGGGCCCGGCACCTCCTGCCCCTTCCCAGAGCTCAGACTGGCCGTGAGGCCCGCAGCGCCCCCTCATCTTGTAAGCTCCAGAAGGGGACACGGGGGGGGGGGGGGCGGGGTCGCTCCTGGGTGATGGGTGGGGGCCCAGGGGGCTCTGGGCCTCGGGCGTGTGCAGGAAAGAAGGACTGGGAGGACTAGGAGTCCTGCAGAGGAAGCACACCGCCGGCTTGGCGGGGCAGAGAGGCCGAGCTTCCCGGAGAGGCGAGTCTGCCAACAGCTTTTTGATCCAAGCTGCTGGAAGGCTGCTAGTGTCTTAGTCTCTGGCTGATTTAGGCCGTGACTGCTTGTTCCTCACTCCTCCTATGTAAGGTGTGTCCCCTGGCAGGAAGGTGTTTTTGTGTTGGGATGGAGGGCTCCGTTTCAGCGAGTCCTAGAGTTGGAACAAGCTTGAAAATGAGACATCTTTGTCTGGATTCCCAGGGTGGAAATGGATTCTCTAGAAGGGGCAGGTGGTAAGAAGAGGACATGGGGAGAAGGCCTAGGTCAGAATGGAGGGCAGGAAGCAGTCCTTGTCAGCCTGTCCTTCCCACCTCTTCTTCATGCTGCTGTCCCCCACTAGGCTCCAGAGGAAGCCACAATCAGCCTTACCACTGGGCAGCACTGTAGGGCTGACATGTTTCCATTTTCAGGGAAATTATTTTCCTGAGACCTATGAAGCAAGAAACCATTAGAAACCCCGTTGAGGGTGGGGGGAGACCAAGTCTTAGAGAACCTAGGCACAGCTCAGGCAGCCACRAGGTAGTAGAGCTTGTCTCAAGCCAAGTTACCACAGGGTAGATGCTAGGAGCCCTGATTTGGCTGCAAATAGAAACTCAGCATCCTGGTATCATCTCCAGAAGTGGCCAGGCTAAGGGACGAACAAGGAGATTCCACCAGGGCACTAGGACCAAGCGGATGGGGCTCTCCAGCAGCCACCTCTCTCAGGCTGCTGCAGTGGTGGCTGCGGTTCCCTCTGGCACTCCTCAGTGCTGGGCTTCCAGGAGGGCTGCCCACACCCCAGCTCTCATTTCCTCTTCTTTCCCTTGTTTGCTTTCCCTGCGRCTTTCCCTTTCTTTCCTGCCTCTCAAGTAAATGAGAAAAAGGTGAGAGAGCAGAACACTGGGAAGTTTCTCTTACTGATTTTGCCATGAGAAAGGGAAGCTGTTTGCATCCACCCCACACCTCTTTTTGTTTCCTGCAGTTTCACCTCATCTTTTCCTCCCCCACTTTCTTCAAGGGCATTGTGCTGTGCTTTACCAATGAACAGTCTCCTAGAATGCAGTCACTCACCCTCTCCAGGGGTTGTAGCTCATAAGCCACCGGCTGCCACTCTTCCACTCCTCTACCACACTGTCTGCAGAGCTATTCCCTTATGCTCAGGAATGCCTCAGGCTCACCCTACTTAAGCTTACCTATTAAGACCTTGGAGGCTGGGGGTGTGGCTCAGTGGTAGAGCACTTGCCTAGCAAATGTGAGGCACTCGACTTAAAAATAAATAAATAAAATAAAGATATTGTATCCATCTACAACTAAAAAAAAAATATAAAAAAAGAAGACTTTGGATCAAACAGATCCCATTCTGTCATCTGTGGGGGTGTCACAAAACRCTGGTCTTTGGTTTGTCTGCTTTTTGGTGGTGGTGTGGTAACCAGGAATTGAACCCAGGGGCACTGAGCCACATCCACAGCCCTTTTTAATATTTGATTTTGAGAAAAACTCTAGCTAAGTTGCTTAGGACCTCACAAAGCTGCTGAGGCTGGCTTTGAACTCACAATCCTCCTGCCTCAGCCTCAAGAGCTGCTGGGATTACAAGCTTGGCCACCATGCCCAACTGGTTTGTCTGCTTTCTTTACACATGTCACCCATTCACCCCTTGAAGATCCTATGAGATTAGTACTGCAGCCCACACTTCATCAATGAAATAACTCACAGGTCACATAGATAGCAGAGCTGGGATTTGAACCTACTAGTCTAGCTTCTGGGTCTTAGCCATGCTCAGTGGTAATTATGGTTTTATTAGYAGCCCATTTCCCTTTTTTTTGGAGCCAGATTCCGAGAATGCCTACCCTCCTATTGTTTAGAAATATGTCCTGCCTGACCCTATATCTCCTACCTTCTGCCAGATGCCGGTGAAGCTGACGACAGCCCTACGTGTGGTGGGCACCAGCCTGTTTGCCCTGGCGGTGCTGGGTGGCATCCTGGCAGCCTATGTGACAGGCTACCAGTTCATCCACACAGAAAAGCACTACCTGTCCTTTGGCTTGTACGGCGCCATCCTGGGCCTGCACCTGCTCATCCAGAGCCTGTTCGCCTTCCTGGAGCATCGGCGCATGCGCAGGGCAGGGCGGCCAATAAAGTTGTCCTGCCAGCAGCGGCGTTCAGTGGCGCTCTGCATTGCMGCCTACCAGGAGGACCCTGACTACTTGCGCAAGTGCCTGCGTTCAGCCCAGCGTATTGCCTTTCCTGACCTCAAGGTGGTCATGGTGGTRGATGGCAATCGCCAGGAGGATGCTTACATGCTGGACATCTTCCATGAGGTGCTGGGTGGCACTGAACAAGCCGGCTTCTTTGTATGGCGCAGCAACTTCCATGAGGCGGGTGAGGGCGAGACTGAGGCCAGCCTGCAGGAGGGCATGGAGCGAGTGCGGGCAGTGGTACGGGCCAGCACCTTCTCATGCATCATGCAGAAGTGGGGAGGCAAGCGTGAGGTCATGTACACAGCCTTTAAGGCCCTTGGTGACTCCGTGGACTATATCCAGGTAAGGATGAATCCCTAGGACTGTGTTGATGGACACATATTGGGCCAATGGGGCATGCTCTCCTTTCGGAGTTTTAGATCTAATTTAGGTCCAATGTGTGTGCATATCCCTCCTTTGAACTGAACAGGGCATAAAGGTTCTGAAGCTCTCCTGGGGTCAGACAGGTCTGGATTAGAAGCTTGGTTCTGCCTCTCCTTGACTTTGGTCAAATATTTGAGTTGATATTCCAATAATAAGAGCAGAAAACTGTTACAACAGAATTTACCTTACAGTGGGCACTGCTGTGGGCACTTTAGACACATCAGCTATTTTAATCTTCATAATACTCCTAGTGGTTAGTACTATTATTAATTCTGTTCATAGAAGGTGAAACAGAAGCATAGAAAGTAACTTAATTAATGTCACACTGCTAGTTAGGTGCAGAGTCAGGCAGCTATCTCAGGTCTGCTCTCAGTCCTCGACAATACTCTCTTTTTGGCCACTGGCAATATAGGGGTGAGAAGAGCGCAAAAAAAAAAAAAAAAAAATCTGGCCAAAGTCCCACTCTTCCAACTGTCAAATCCATGTCTGTGAGGCAGGAGTGAAGGGACTCAGGATATGAGACATCTAGCACTTCATTTCTTAGCACCATTAACAGGGCTGGAACCCTGAGCAAACCCTGCCCAGCTTCTGGTCAAAGTGTGTCTCTGACACTAGCCTGGAAATTTTATTTGGTTGACAAGGTTGACAGAGCTTCAATTTTCAAATAACACAACCTAGAGAGAATTGAGAAGATTAAAACTCATATATTCAGTCCCATGCAGAAACCAAAATCCCAGAACCCCATGTTCTGGTCCAGAATTTTTCGTAGCATTCACACTACCTGTGCCTGTTTCTGCCCTTCTCTGCATCTGCTGTAGAGTTTTGCCCATAGTTTCATAAGTGCATAAAAGAATAGTAGCTATAGTAGCTATTCTAGCAGCCATCTGTGTGCTGTTCAGTCTTGATGACAGCATGGTGAAGTCTCTGATACTATTTACGTTTTCTATTCATGTACCTACCTAGAACTAGTGTGCACAATTTGTTCGGCACAATTTTTTTGAAGGGTATGTCCTTGTGTGAGAGTTGATACCTTTGTCTTTTTCGTCTTCCTAGACCAAGGACCTTTCCAGCCATGAAGGGAGGATGTGAGCCTAGAATGCTGTTTGATTCTGCAGTTCACCTGGGATTGGGGGACTTTTGTGAAAACTTCCTGGGAACTCAAAAGCTTAGAAAAAGCCCTGAGCCCTGACATATGCTCAAACCATAGTAGCTTTGTCATTCACTCCCTTGAATTACAGGACCCACTCCCCCCCCCCCCCCCAAAGCTGCTCTGCCACATGGTTCCCTTTCCCAGTCATCTGTGCACTCTGGATCTGCAAACAGGCCCACACCTGAGACATGCTTTTTTCTTTATGGCCCTGGGGCCACTGCCTAAGGCAGCCCTGGGCTAGAGCCAGTGAAGCTTGATGGATTTCAGCCTGCCCTCCAACAGCCCTATTGAGGGTGTGTGTCTTTCTCTCTGTGGGAGAGAACCTTGCCCCTGCCAGTGGGGAAAGCCAGGTGGCTCAGGACTCTTCCTTTCCTGCTCAGCTAAAACCACCTTCCTGGTATGAAAGAGGTGGAGCAGCATGGAGAATCGGTTAGGGTGAGGACAGGAAGTAGCAATGAGACCAGCAGCACTGGGTAGCTTGTCCTGTAGGCTGGAGAGGCTCTGATTCTGGATTCTGGCCAAAGGCTAGCTGGGACCTTCTGGGGACCATCCTGGGGACCAGGATGTAAGGATGTGTCTGGTAAGGAGGTGGGAAGGAGCACATGTGAGGAACCTAGCCTGGCACTGATGGGACTGTKCCTGGTTCCTCCTTAGCTTCTACTGTTATTTGCCTGTGGCCACCTTCTCTTTTGACACAAGAGAAAACTGGGAAAGTTTGAGGTGTCAGAGGCAGCTGTCTTCCTGAAGGCTGATGGGAACCTTTTACAAGTTTTTTGGTGCTGGGGAGTGAACCCAGGACTTTACATATATAAGTATCTTCAATGAAAGGATTTTAGGCTGTGGAATAGGGTTGTTTCACTTGTGGATATTCTACTCTGAGAACTGTGACCATAGAGCTCAATTAGGAGTCCATAAACCAATTCCCCTGCTTAATGATTTATCTAGACTCTTGTACCAATTCAGTGTCTTTTTAGAAAACATAAGAAGTCAGCCATCAGGGTAAGTGTTCAGAGCCTAAGTTCAATTAATAGTAGGACCCTGCTGGGCCATGAGCCTTCTGACAAAAGGAGAGCCAGGGCCTGATCYGAGGCAGCAATTGTTGGCTTCCACAACCACTGAGTAAATCCCAAACGAGCATTCTTTGGTCATACTGTGTCCCAATCAGCCTTGGCCAATGGAGTTTGTGATGAGGGAGCACAGAATGTCTGGGGCCATTTTGTGGTTTCATGGAGGGACTTATGGGTAGGTGGACYGATCCTCACCCTGGGGCTTTAGATTGTCCAAGAAGCCAGAGACTGAAATAAAGACACTGATAACAACTACCCTATGAGATCACTTCAGCAGTAGCCTCTGGCAAGAGCTACTTCTCAGTGTTCTGAGGAATGTCTGCTGTCCATGACTAGCCCACTGTGCCTGTTGTCTGACTTCAGTGGCTTGTTCCCCATTTCTGCCTAAGGACCCCATAGAAATATTTTGAGACCAGTTCTGTGGATTCTGGATCTGGAAGGGCAAAAGCTTACCCAGTGGTAAGCATTTTCCCCTTCCCAGACCAGTCTACTGTGGGTTTCTCTCTTCACCTCAGAGGCTATCAAGCCTGGTATGTGAACTCACCTTTTCCTTAATTTCCTTTGTTTTTCTTCTCTCCCCTTTTATGGTCTAGATCTTTCTGCTGTAAGTAAATCATGTGGAAGGGGGTCATATCCCTCAGGCAGTGAGCAGCCTTGTGGAAGGGGGAGGGTATGTGTGTAGGCCTGAAGTCAAAATGGTCTGTGTACTCCCTTGTAGGTGTGTGACTCTGACACTGTGCTGGACCCAGCCTGTACCATTGAGATGCTTCGAGTCCTGGAGGAAGATCCCCAAGTAGGGGGAGTTGGTGGAGATGTCCAGGTAAGAAGTAACCAGGAATTTCTAGGGGTAGGAATCTAGACTCTTTCTGTTTCCTAATCCAACAGGATATACCTGGAAAATGGATATTTTTTACTTGCTAGTATCTGGGGGGAGGTTCCCTTCTGGCAGTTTTCACTGGTAATAAAGGGCTCACCTAACTTGCTACCCAATTCCTTTCCTGCTCTTTTTCAATGTAAAGAGGGGAAATTACCAAACAGTTATGGAGAGCCCATGCTGCAGGAAGGATTTTGAGGTCACAGATCCCAGAGGGTATTTCCTTTTGGGCTRATGGGATAGCAAATAGCTCCCAAGTTAGGACCTCAGAAGCCCTTGCTTTTAAGGAACTTAAGTTGAAGAGCTCTGGTAAGCTTCAAAGGCTGATCATCTTCTAGAGGATACTGCAGGCAACATATCATGTCTTTCCAGAAGCTTTTCAACTATGTAAGGCRCAGAACAGGTGGCTGGGGTGGGGTTTTGCTTCTTTCTCAAGTTCTTTTCTGTCACCACCACATAATCTCTTCTGACACTGAAGGTGGCTTTGACTATTAGAGCAGCTTAGTTGGAAAAATCAATGCAGATGACACGTGGGAAGGTGGAGTTGTTGCTGGGGAGAGTCGATGAGTATGGTTGCTCTTCTGAGCCTTGGGTTTCTTAGGTCTGATGGGACTAGAAATGGTGGCCAGAAATCTTAGCAATGGRCTACAGAACTTATGGTAGAAAGGCTTCATGATCTCTGGTACATGACTACTCTGGGGYGCATGTCCTTAGATGAGGAGGCCCAGCATATCTGTTCCCTTACAGATCCTCAACAAATATGACTCGTGGATCTCCTTCCTAAGCAGTGTGCGATACTGGATGGCCTTCAATGTGGAGCGGGCCTGCCAGTCCTACTTTGGATGTGTGCAGTGTATCAGTGGGCCACTGGGCATGTACCGCAATAGCCTTCTCCAGCAATTCCTGGAGGACTGGTACCATCAGAAGTTCCTAGGCAGCAAATGCAGCTTTGGGGATGACCGGCACCTTACCAACCGAGTCCTGAGTCTTGGCTACCGGACTAAGTATACAGCACGCTCCAAGTGCCTCACAGAGACCCCCACCAAGTACCTCCGGTGGCTCAACCAGCAGACCCGCTGGAGCAAGTCTTATTTCCGGGAGTGGCTCTACAATTCTCTGTGGTTCCATAAGCACCACCTCTGGATGACCTACGAATCAGTGGTCACAGGTTTCTTTCCCTTCTTCCTCATTGCTACAGTAATACAGCTTTTCTACCGTGGCCGCATCTGGAACATTCTTCTCTTCCTGCTGACAGTCCAGCTGGTGGGAATTATTAAGGCTACTTATGCCTGCTTCCTTCGGGGCAATGCAGAGATGATCTTCATGTCTCTTTACTCCCTTCTTTATATGTCCAGCCTCCTGCCAGCCAAAATCTTTGCCATTGCTACCATCAACAAATCTGGCTGGGGCACTTCTGGCCGAAAAACCATTGTAGTGAACTTCATTGGCCTCATCCCTGTGTCCATCTGGGTAGCAGTTCTTCTGGGTGGGCTGGCTTACACAGCTTATTGCCAGGACTTGTTCAGTGAGACCGAGCTAGCTTTCCTTGTCTCTGGGGCCATCCTGTATGGCTGCTACTGGGTGGCCCTCCTAATGCTTTATCTGGCCATCATTGCCAGGCGATGTGGGAAGAAGCCAGAGCAGTATAGCTTGGCTTTTGCTGAGGTGTGACACAGTCCCCCAAGTAGAGTGGGAAAAGTGCAATGGGTACGGGGAGGGAAGGGGAATGAAAGATAAAAGATGGGGTGGGAGGGAGGAGGGAGTGCTGTTTTAGCTTCTTAATGGTTCGAAGGACAAATCTGAAATGCAAAGAATGGTGACTATAATATGGCCTAGGTAGCTTTGCCCAGAGGAGGGTGACACGGATTCTTCAGGTTCAAGGGAGATCATGTTTTCTGGCTACCTGCTTCCTCCTGCACACAGGCAATAGCCTCTGGGAATTATTTTATTTTCTCCCCCTGGGATCCACAGGGAATTCAGAAGTGTGCTAAACCAAGTAATAAGTTCTATTGAGTGGCAACTTATGATGGGTAAGTGAACAACAGCCTATGGGAAGGGATCCTCTTAGTCCTTCTTAATATATTACCAGAAGTGGTGGGAGAACTTCCACTGAGAGATCAGGGCAGGCAAGTTAGTGTCCCCTCCTTCCCCAACCCTCAACTAGTAAGAATGTGCCTGATATTCAAGGCCCAGAAGCTTGATCTTTGGGCATCAGAAAACAGGGTCCAGGAATGGTGCTTTATGAGATATAAACCATTCCACATCTCCACATCCCATGGATGAGCCAAGCCAGCACTGAACTGCTTTTAAAAGTGCATTATTAAAAAGGAAATGTTGCCAGGAGGAAAAGAGTGTGTTGGTGCTAAAGACCATGGGATTATATGGAAGCCTTGGGCCGAAGGTGTTCCACATGGAAAACTACTTAGACTTCTAGATGGACTTTAACCTTGCTATGATCTCTGCTGGGCAGATAAAAATGTTTTAGCCAACTACCAGGAAGATCAAACCCCTATGTGTTCAAAAGGAAGTGAGGTTTTGGGTATTTCAATCTGTACCCTCTTGAATTCCTCTCAGTTTCAGCTCTGATCTAAGGCTAGATGTTACATCCTCCTTACTTCACTTTCTTCAAAAGCACATTTTTTGGGGGGTATGAAATGAGTTACCTCTTCCATCCTCATTATCATGAGTAAGTTTCTTAAGATGGCACCTAGGGCTCTTATAGGACCCTGTGCAGTAGGCATGACTGCTTTCTGCACATACTGGAAGAATATCGGAAGCCTCTGATCAAACTAGCTACCATCTTGGAAATGGATCAATTACTTGACAGCCTGTGAGCATGGATGACTTTCAAGTTACTGTTCTCGACAATCATCTCCAACAGAAAGCTATTCAGTGTTGTCAAAGTGAACCCTCGAATTCAAGCTGGTCATCTTTGAGACTGTTCATTTCCTCAGCAGCTTCTCCAGGGAAATCTTGCAGCCAGGTTATGGACTGTCACTACTGCCATTGCTTGCTTTGGAACAGAAAGCAAACTAGGAGATGGAATTGGGTCCTATATACTAAGGTTCTTGCTTTCTCTCACACAGCCCCAGGACTGTTTTATTTCTCTGCCTTTGGGAGTGAGGGGAAGCAATTTTCTAGTGATTTGCAATAGACTGTGTTCAGCTTTTGGGTTTGAACCTGGGATTGACTAAGCCTTTGACTTAAGGGTTGTCTACTTGCTGTCTTTCTGAATGCCCTTTTCCAGGGAAGCCAGCTAACCTCTCAGAACCAACACTAAGGTAAAGTAGTTGAAGGGGCAATCCTCCAGTGTACCCAGGTGCTTTTGTACAAAGGAACAAAGTGTGCTCTGAACTATAGATGGGCAAACCCTGGTGCTTTCCTCCTTCTTCCATGAGCTCAAGAGTTTTCCAGGTGTAGCCAAGAGTTGCTATATCACACAGACCTCAAGTTTCTAGTAAAACTGCTGGTTAATGTCAAGCCCAGGATTGATAACTGGGAAGCAGCAGGCATTTGCCAAAGGCAGTTCTAGGCTCTTCCGTGCTTCTGCTGGCCAAGAAGTAAACTATTTTGAGCATTACAATGGAGGAAATCCGGTCAGCCAACTGCAGAGCTCAGACTTCACTAAGGGCTTGTTTTTCTTCAGCTTTTACTTGAAGGTTAATGCAGGATGATGGACTCTGGATGGAAAACTCCTGACTGTCCTACCATCAGCTCTGCCTTGCACTGTGGTCACCTTTCCTCAGACCAGAAGAAGACAAGTATAGGTATCGTGCTCACAACGTTTGACCTCGACTGGTTTTTCTAAGTTATTTTGTACATTTTTCAGCAACAAAACCAAACTGGGTCTTCAGCTTTATCCCCATTTCTTGCAAGGGAAGAGCCTTTATATTACTGAACACATTTTGTTTTTTCCTCAGAGAAATGTAATCTTCTTTTGTATTATTTTCACAATAATTTGTAAACATATTTATTTTTACCTGCTTTTTAAATAAGGGAACTTTAAAGTTGGGAAGGGATTAGAAGGGATGCAGCTCCACTTGGTGATGGTGTTCMTGTTTCTATTCTTGCTGATGTCACTAAGCCTAATGTATAGTATCTTCTGGGCCTTCTGCTTTTCTTAAAGCCATGGTACCCAAGGGCATGTTGCTGGAGCTCTTCGGGAGCCACATCCTTGTTCAGCTTTTTCATCACCATTCCATCTTCATCTTGCTTGAATCCCTCCCATAGAAATGGTGGGACAGGTGCCAGAAAGCCTCCTTGGGTGTGTGTTTCCAGTCCATCTCATCCATGTGCTCAATCTTCACATCAGGCTTGTAGTCATCCTCTTTGAAGTCCTGCATGAAGCCATGGTACCCCTCCCACCAGTTTTCCTTTTCTCTGGCCATTTTTTCCTCAGTACAGTATACCTTGAGGACAGGGACTTATTGGGGGCCTTCACCAGCATCACTTCTACACTGTTGTCTATAGCAACCTTTTATTCTGACACAGTGGCCAGACCTCTGTTCACAATAGAGGCCTGGTTCAGGATGGTGGTGGCTTCTCATCTAGATTGGCTGCTCTAGTCAATGTTCTAACTTTTGTGTCTGAATCAGAGCCACCATTGCTTCTAGTCTCATTYAGTCCTTGAGCTCCTTCTGATTGACAGCCAGACAATAGGTGGGTATCTCACCAAAGGTACGATAAAACTCCAAGGTGGCATTAAACAGGATGGTCCTATTCCGCTTGGGAATCCACTTTGTTTCTTCAGTCTCTACCACCTTCTCACCACTTTCTTGGAGGTGATGTCCATTTCTCCATGAGGTGGTATMCAATGAAGGGGGCTGGGACACAGGCTCCTTATCCTCTGGGGCTACCTACTCTGCTGTGGGCACTCATTACCAACCCTGGCCCTGCAGTCTATAACCAAAGTCTCCAGTATAAGTCTAGTCCCCCAAAAGATAGCAAGCTTATATTACCACCTCCTTTTCCTTGCAATTTTCTTCACCCTTGGCTTAGGTTTTTTTTTTTTTTTTTTAGGTGTGAAGTATTCAGAGGCAAACCAGAGCCCTGCCAGACCTCTTCCAGTCAGTTCCCAAAGTTTGTTGACCATACAAGCCCTGGTCCAAATGGGACTGTAACCGCACCCCCTCCAGCTACTCACTGAACTTGGCCAGGCCAGACCGAGGTTTTTGCTGTGCCAAGTCCATGTTCTCTTCTCTGCATGAGGGAAGCAGATAGACTGCTTCTTCTCTGCCTTCTGCTTATCTACCAGGTTCAAGTTCACCAGCACATCTTCCTCCTTCAGTAACACACCTCTATCCTTAAGGGTAGACTACAGCCATCCCCTCTTGAAAGGAATCAATGGCACACTCCACAGTGAGGCCCTGTGGGTCTGGTCAACTCTGCCTAAATTCCTCTTCCTCCAGAGTACTGATACCAGACTTGATCCATTTCTTCCAGCAACTCAGTCCTGTTCTCTGTCAAGTTATTCTGCAGCTGTGACAGGTTGTGGTGTCAAGCCAGGATTCATCCTCCCTCAGTGTCTTTATCTTCTTCAACTGTGATTACCTGCTTTAGTACTGGGGATTGAACCCAGGGGTACTCTACCACTCAGCTACATCCCTAGCTTTTTTTTATTTTGAATTTTGTGACAGGGTCTCACTAAATTGCCTGGGCTGGTCTTSAACTTGCGAGTCTCCTGCCTCAGCCTTCTCAGCAGCTGGGATTACAGGCATGTACCATCATACACAGTTTTCCAACTTTTGGTCCAGCAGATGCTTCTCCTTGGCAGCTACTTGCTTCTACAGCTCCTCTTGCTGTCACAAGGTCATGGGGTTGATGACATCGCTTGCCACAGATTCCTTGGTGCCTACCTCTTTCTTGATGGCATTGACCTCCAAGGGTTTCAGCCCAAGCTTTGCCCAAGTTTATTGGTCTTCTTGATACTGACTGCTGAGGCACCTTCAGCACTAGTTTTGCAGATGGCAGCAGCCTTGTAGCTATCATTGTGCTACTCCTGCTTCATATCCCTTTTTAAGGTCTTGGCCTGGCTGCTGTTCCTACTTGGGTGCTGCAGTGAGCCTGGCTTCTGCCCTGCATCAGCTACTCTCACATTCACCCCTCCCCCAATGCTGCTACCAGTCCCATACTGGGTGCACATAGCCTCCATGATCCTGCTGCATCTTTCACTCCTGGTGCTTCTTGACAACCCATGGTGCTGCATCAGCCTGGAGCCTGGCCTCCAAAGCCTGGGACACAAAATGGGAACACTTCTGGGTAACATGACAGGTGCTGTCCTGTTTGTGGCTAGAAACCAAGAAGGGCTGCTTCTGTCAATTGCCTTGGAGCCTTTTTTTTCCCTTAATTTTTCAGGTCAAAAATTTTATACTGCACTTATTTGTCAAAATAAAGATTCATGTAATGTTGCTGTTAGATTTCCATTTATGTGCTGAAACCCCTGACATAAATCAGCTTTAGGTTTCATGTTTCAGACCATGGTTGCTTGGCTCCACTGTTTCTGGGGATGTGGTGAGGCAGAATAACATGGTGGGGGTCATGTGGGGAGTGGGTAAAGTTGTTCACCTCATGGCTGCTGGGAAGCAAAGAAATCCAGAGAGGARGGGGTCTAGACAAAGTACACCCTTCAAAGGTTTACCCACAGTAATCTCCTTCCTTCAACTAGATCCCACCTCCTAAAGTTTCCACCAATTCCCAATAGCCTATTAAACTGTGAATCTGCTGGACATGGTGGCCATGCCTTATAATCCCAGTGAATCAGAAGGCCGAGGCACGAGGGACTGCAAGTTCAAAGCCAGACTCAGCAATTTAGTGAGACTCTAAGCAACTTAACACCCTTTCTCAAAAAAAAAAAAAAAAAGAAGGGGGGAGGGAGAGCAAGGATGTGGTTCAGTGTCCCTGGGTTCAATCCCCATTCCCCCCACCCCCCATTCATCAGAAAACTAGTCCACTGATGAGGTTAGAGCTTTCATGATACAACCACATTATACCTCCAAACACTGCTGCACTGGGGAATAAGCTTTTAACACAAGAGCTTTTGGGGGACATTTCGTACCCAAACCATAAGAGTAAGGCTCCTTCAGCTACTTCCTCTTTGTACCTAATAAAATTGGCCCTTTATTCTAGCATCAAAAGGACTGAAGTTGAAAGTTTAATCAGTGGAACTCGAAAGCAGGTAAGTTGTTATAGCTGACTTGACATGGGGAATATAGTTGGCCTATGCTGATAACTACACACCCACGAGGGCTTTTATTGTAGAGGTGAGGCAGGGTCTATGGTGAAATAACTGGCAAATGAGTGAGCTAAAAACCAAAGATTCCTTACTCCTTGAGTGGAAGCATTTTAGGGGGCAGGTAACAGAGGATTGCGGCCAAGCTGAAATAATGAAAAACAGGTAACCTCTATCTGTGGAACAGGTAATAAAATGGATTAACAGCAGAAGCCCTCTCATCCCATTTATTAGAGAAACAGTAAGAAAAGATACAATGTGGGAAAAACACCAACCATCCTTCACGTCAGGCTGAACGAAGCACAGTGATTTCTCCCCTTCACCCCCACCCCCACCCTAATTCCTATATTCCCACCCACATCAGTTTAAATCTTGAGGTTCTTTGATTGGGAGTACCAGTGGAGAGGGAGCTGGATAAGCARAGGAGTCTTTAAATCCAGCTGTCTCTAAGTCCCAGGAGAAAGGAGCTGCAGGCCCAGCCACTCAAGCAAAAATTGATTTGGTGGGTCCATGAAGTCGTTGTCTACCTCCCTGTGCTCTGTGTTCAAGCCCCCAAGGAAAGGTCTGGCAGTAGAAGATGACCAGGTCCAAGCTGCCCAGGTCAGAGCTACTGAAGCATGGTTCATTCACCAATGCCACACCTCTAGAAAGCAGTGAGCTGATTCTCCAGTGGGGAGCAGGGGAATACACACGAATTGGGACCTGCAGGCCAATGTATCCCTGAGGAAAAGTCCACAAGAACAATTCAAGAAACTAGTAAGAAACAAGGGGCAGAAAGCTGTGGGACAAAAGCACAGCAGGTTTCTGGAAGGCCGGAGATTCTTTCTCTTGAGGCTAGGATCATTCCCTCCTGCCAAAGTCAAAGTGTCCCACAAATAACATTTCACTTTCAGTCAAAAAAAAAAAAAAAAAAAAAAAAAGCCGAAGAAAAAGATGGCTCATTTGAACTTGAGCCCCAGCTATGTTCTTTAGACAGTAGCTCCATATTATCAACCCTTTTACCTAAGAGATAGTCCCTAACCAAAACCACAGTGCCTGGAAAACAAAGTGGTCCTGGAGAGAAAGTGGTGTTTAAGGGGGTAACATTCCATTTGGGTACATTGCAGCCATTGGACCACCTGGTCTGGGGAAAGCAGCTGGGTTTGTGCCAGGGAGGCTCCCCACTCTAGGAAATGGGACCAAATTCTTACCTGCAGGGCCATTCATCCTTGGAAAAGAGGCTGGGTTTAGACCCAGGGTCCCAGTTGGCCTTGCAAAAGGAGCTGGGTTGATACCTACAGGGCCTGCTGGAGAAGAACCCAAGGGCCCAGCAGCTGACCTGGGGAAAGCAACTTGACCTGGGCCTAATGGACCAGTAGATCTTGGGAAGGCAGCTGGACTTGGACCCTGAAGGCCAGTGGCCCTTGGGAAGTTGGCTGGGTTGGGGCCAAGTGGCCCAGAGGCTCTTGGGAAAATTGCAGGACTTGAGCCCTGGAGGCCAGCAGACCTTTGGAAGGTACCTGGGTTGGAAGCCAATGTCCCAGAAGACTGAGAGAAGGCAGTTGGGTTCAGTCCCCCTGAACCTGTTCCCCTTGGAAAGGGACTGGCATTTACTCCCATTGGGCCACCTGGCCTTGAAAAATGAGCTGAATTAGGGCCTATAGGGCCAGGAGCCCTTGACATGGGAGATGGATTTGGCCCTGGGAGGCCAATTCCACGAGAGCTAGGACCCATGTTTGGGCCTACAGGGCCAGGCACTCTTGCCATGGTGGATGGGCTTGCACCCATGTTTCCAGAAGCCTGTGAGAAAGAAGCTGAATTTGCTCCTAAAAGACCTGCTGCTCTTAGAATGGGGGCAAGATCTAGGCCTTGAGGTCCAGCCATTCTTAAGTTAAGACTAGATCCTGTACCCAAAAGGCCACCTGTTCTGGTGTCTATATTTGGGCCTTGRCCTAGGCCACCAGCCCTTGGGTTAGGACCAAGACCTGGACCCATGCCACTTGTTCGTGGGTTGGGCCCAAGGCTTGGGCCTGGAAACATACCTGACCTAGGGGCAGGATTTGTACCTAAAAAGCCTGATCTCAGATTGGGACTTGGTCCAGGACCAAGGCTAACTGGCCTAGGATTGGGAGGACCATTCCCAGAAGGTAACAAGCCACCTGCTCTCAGGTTGGGTACAGATCCAGGGCCTAAGGAGCCACCACTTCTAGGGTCAGGACTTGCTCCCAGGAGACCACCTGCTCTTGGGTTAGACATAGGACCTGGGCCTGGGAGACCTCCTAACCTGGGGTTAGACATAGGCCCTGGGCCTGGGAGTGCCCCTGTTCTAGGGTTCAGAGTTGGTCCTGGTCCTGGGCCCAAGAGGCCACTGGGCCTTGGAAAAGAAACTGCGCCTGTGCCAGCAGGATTCATCCCTCTTGGAAAAGAAGCCATGCTTGGGTCACGAGCACCAGCAGGGAAAGGTGCTGGATTTGATGCCAATGGGCCTGATGAAGATGGAAAAGGAGATGGGTTCCTTGGAAACGGGGCCAGATTCCCACCAAGAGAACCAGTTGCCATAAGGAAAGGATCCGAGTTCACACCCAGTGGGTGGCCTGCGTTCAGAATAGGACCCCCCTGTGGTCCCAGGGAACCGTCGAGCCGTCCTCGAGGTGGCAGTGGAGCACGAGTCCAAGGAGTTGGCCGCTCTCTAGGGAAAATCCGGGGTTCTTTCATACTTTCTTGGGGATGTTGGTGATAATGGGCTTGGGGCGGGTTTTGAAAAGGATCTTGTTTTTGATGAGTGCCGTCACCAGGTACCGGGTGCCAGTCTCGTGGCTAAGCTCATCATAGTCCTGCTCCCCAGGAGCGTGTTTGACAAGGACCGCAAAAGGTTTCTCCAGATGGATGATTTTCCCATACAGGATATGATGTCCCACGATCAGCACAGGGATTCCCTTAGGCAGAACAAGAATGAGATGCCTGAGGTTCAGGGCAAGGCCATTCAACTCTGGTGCCTTTTAAAGCTGCTCTTGGCAGACAATGCCAGCACCTCTATTCCCTGGTCTGGCTCTACCACTGTTGATCAGCCACAGTGGATGACCCACCCTTATCCCCTTTTTATTTCTTTTTAGCCCCATGTAGGAGAATTTCTACTTTCAGAAATGTTACCTTTCTAGAAAACCCAAAGCTAAATTTCCCTGTTACTGCAGAGGTGGGGGAAGAACAAGCAGATAGCTCTGCAGATTAGCTAGATCTTGAATAACAAACCTGAGGGCAGTCCTCACTTTGGATCCTGGGAGCACCACCTTGGTGTAGCTCGCTTTCCTGAGGCATTAAGCAGGGAAAGAAAAGCCCCCTCACCTCAGTGGTGTAATGTAGGTCTCCCAGGAGGTTTCCAGCTAATCCAGTGCTGTAGCGAGCCTCGATCTCCCCCTGTAGCTCCATCAGCACCCATTCTGCCAGGCCTCCAGCCCCCGCACTGCAAGCAAAGGGCTGGCGGTTACAATATTTTTGAGGGGTGAAGGATGAGTAGTGTCCTACACCACCATTCAAGGCCCAAAGAGACTCTGTTGAGCACAAGTTCTTGGGAAACTGGGCAGTGCTAGGCACTCAACTATAGATGTGAATGCAAACATCAATGCAAGATGCACCTGAGGACCCTGATTCTTCCAGAAAGACATGAAACCTATATAGCCGTAATTATTCAAGCTAAGTAAAACCTCAAAATGTACTCACCTGGAAATAACAATYTGCACCATGAGCTTTCCTTCTTTAAAAAGCAACTGAAAATAAACTGTAGAGAAAAACAGAAAAAAAAAATATTTAGGAAAAAAATGATAGTCAATGACAAAATGACAGCTAGTATTTACCACTTATTTATTAGGTAGGCATTTTCTAATGCTTTAAACACATTACTCTGTTCCATACCAATGCCATAAAAGGTAAGTTTCTGTACACTCAGACAAGGTTGCTGGAGATCATCAACAGCAACCTTTGATATGGCTCAGTGGTAAAGGCCCTGGGTTCAATCTTAAAAACACACACACACACACACACACACACACACACACACACACACACACACATCACTGTCAACTACAGAATGGAAAAATAATAGGTATCACAATTGTGCTCAAGGTTGCAAAGCTACTAAGTCAAACAGAATATGAACCCAGGATACACACCACAGAGACCACTCTTGAATCTTGTTCACTTGCCTTTCTCAAGGATACTCTATTTTCTACTCTGCATGCCTCATTGGTGATAATATAAATGTCACATCGACCACTGGGTTACCTTTAATTTCTAGGTTGAGAGAGCCTTTCTTTAACTAAAAATCACAACTGGAAAAAGTCCTTCTGCCAAAACCAGTGAATGGTAAACTACTTTTTATCCCCCAATACTAGGTTTAGAACCCAGCGATGTTCTACCACTGAACTACATCCCCAAGCCTTTTTGAGACAGGGTCTTACTAAGTTGCCTGGGCTGGGCTTGAACTTATTATCCTCCCAAACTGCTGATATTACTGGCTACACACCACTGCATTTATGTTAGTAAGCTGACTTCTTTTATTTTTTGGTTGAGGGATTGAAACACAAGGGGGCTTAATTACTGAACCACATCCTCAGCCCTTTTTTACATTATATTTACAGACAGGGTCTTGCCAAGTTGCTGAGACTGGCTTTGAACTCATGACACTCCTGTCTCAGCCTCCCAAACTGCTGGGATTACACACATTTACACAGCACCCATGATGTTAAAGCTTTTTTTTTTTTTTAATATATTTTTAGTTGTAGATGGACACAATACATTTATTTTTCTTAAATTTACTGGTGCTGGGGATCAAACCCAGTGCCTCAAGTGTGCTAGGCAAGCACTCTACCACTGAGTTACAACCCCAGCCCTTGTAAAACTGATCTCTGATGTAACTTTTAACAAATGCTTTGGCCACCTTTCACTTAGATATAAAAATATTCCAATATTTACATACTTTCATTTTATATAATAGCACCACCTGGTGGCAAGTTTGGAGTACTCTACAAGATAAAGTTGGGACGGTTTTGCCTTAAGACAAATAGCTTCACTTGCACTTGTGAAGGGTTGAATTCACAGGGATTAAGGGGAARAGGGACCAAAACTACAATCTCTAAATCTTTCAAATGTACATATGGAGTTTAGTGGAAGGTTATCAGTCCAGTGTTTATCAACTTGAGGGAAGTTAATAGGTATAATTGCTCAAACTCAGTAAGCACCTGATTAAAATACTAAACAGGTTAGTGTTTATCTTCATTTTGGATCTCCAGAGAAAGGGATACTGCCAATAGTCTTTTTGTTTTGTTTTTCATGCCAGGGATTGAATCAGTGAGCCACATCCCCAGACTTTTTTTGCATATATTGAGAGAGAGGGTCTTGCTGAGCTGCTTAGGGCCTCACTAAATTGCTAAGACTGGCTTTGAACTTGCAATCCCCCTGCCTCAGCCTCCAAAGCCACTGGGATTACAGGCATGTGCCACCATCCCCAGTTTGCCAGTAGTCCTTTAAAAAAAAAAAAAATCTTGGGCTGGGAATGTGGCTCAAGCGGTAGTGCGCTCACCTGGCATGCGTGCGGCCCGGGTTCGATCCTCAGCACCACATACCAACAAAGATGTTGTGTACGCCGAGAACTGAAAAATGGATATTAAAAATTCTCTCTCTCTCTCACTCTCTCTTTAAAAAAAAAAAAAATTAAAAAAAAAATCTTTATTTTATTTGTTAATTTTCATGTGGTGCAAGCGCTCTACCACTGAGCTACAGCCCCAGCCCTTGCCAGTAGTCTTATGTGATGGGAGAACCCTTACTCTCAGAGCACCAAACATACTGGAAACATTGAAGATGGTTAATTCACTAGACTTCAAACAGAAATAGCAACTAACATGTTTTGAATTTTCATTACGGACCAGACTCTGTACGTATAGGTTGATAGTGTCACATTCAATAAGACAACTTTATGACATAAATCATATACCTAGGGGCTGGGGATGTGGCTCAAGCGGTAGTGTGCTCGCCTGGCATGCATGCGGCCCGGGTTCGATCCTCAGAACCACATACAAACAAAGATGTTGTGTCCGCCAAAAACTTAAAAATAAATACTAAAATTTTCTCTTCTCTCTCTCGCTCTTTAAAAAAAAAAAAAACAACTTCCTCCTGTCTCAGCATCCTAAGACCTGGAACTCAGGGCCTGTACCACAATGCCCAACTCTCAGATTTCTACATTGTGGGGAGCCATTTCTGACACATGATTGGGTGGCTCCCCTTAAGGGTCTGAGGCGTTCTGGCTGTGTCGGAACTTTTCCGGCCCTTTCCTGATGAGAGAGCCCATCCGTGTGAGGGTGTGCCTGACCACTGACCCCGGGGGGCCCAATCACTGACCCTGACCTTGGAGTGCAGTCCCCCCTCAACCTTCATTGGATGGAATTCTCCCCTGAATCTCTTGTTCCCCAATAAAAAGCTACTCCCAGGCGTGTTCAAACTCTCTCTCCTGCTAGCCCTGAGTAATCCTTGCTGCCCTACTGGGCGGTTAGAGGAGGGAACCAGAGAGGGGAGCCGTCTGGGACCTGGCAATATAAATAAGGTAACTGAGTCTGTGTGTTTTATTTCGATCTCTTCTAACTAACTTTTATGCCAAGAACCTCATTAATGAAACCATTGCGCAGGCCGCATGGTGGAGTACATCTTTTTGGTATTAGGGATTGAAACCTAGTGGCGCTTATCAACTGAGCCATATCTCAAGCCTTTTTTATTTTTTATTTTGAGACGGGATCTCACTAAGGCACGTAGGGCCTTGTTAAATTGCCAAGGCTAATCTTGAACTTGCAATCCTTCTGCCTTGGCCTCCAGAGTCGCTGGGATTACAGGTGTGTGCCTCCATGCCACATCCAACTCTCAGGTTTCTTGAAGCCAAAAGTGTAATAATTCAAAATAAGGCCTAAATTCAGATTCCAGCCTGTGAGCATGGATCTCTACAGTTTGATCACACACAAGTCATTTAATGACTATGGGGCTAACAACTAGATTGACTTACTGAACTACTGTGATGACCAAATTTAATGCATATAAAACTGCTTTAAGGACCCCAAGTTCTACTAAAAAAAAGTTATTATTTTTTAACAGAATGAAATAAGCAAATCAGCATTTTATCAAAATTTTGACTATTATCTAGAAAATGGTAGGTATATTAGCCATAAATCAAAAAAGACTTGATTTGATAATAGATTTTGGAGGCTTCTTATGAATAAGCTCTTGATGACTGATCATGCTGTATATTTTCCTTGATAAGTTATATTAAATAAGGTGGCTTAAGAGAATCAACAAGGTGTTCACATAGATAAATGTGTTGTGGGAAGCTCAGAGCAGGAGACAGAACCTATTTGCTATCAACCAAAATCAATTTTTACATCCTTTGGCCACATGCTTGAAACTGGTATGTGTGGACTGCTTAGGAGAGGTGGATACAAAAATATTTTAAGTATTTGTTCCCTGGGATAGGGTAGCAGTTGCATACCAATCTGTGAGGCTTCAATGAGTACTGAAGGAGAAAGCCCTGTCTATCAATACTGGCAGATAAGTAGCAACTCGCCTAAAAGAAATCAAGTTGACAAAAACTTGACTTATACTAGAACATCTGGGATGCTTCTGATTTACACATAAATGAAATGCAAACCCAGCTGATAGTCTAGCCACACTTACATAATGTATGTATACACAAGGGAGTACTAACCCAATTATTAAGAAATGTAGGGGAAGGCATCCATGTAATGAATTTAAAAATTCTATTTTAGTGCCTTAAAATACTCTACAACACCTGAATATTATTATTCCTTTTCTTGTGCCTTGAGACTTCCAGGCAATTGTCCTCATGGTGGGAGTAGGTCGGTATAGCTGCATATTGAGGATACATATGTTGGAGACAGCAGGGACTATAAATACGTATTTTAGGGTTCAGGTAATTTTAAAAGTGAGAGCTGGGCATGATGGTGAATACCTGTGATCTGAGCAACTCAAGAGGCTGATAACAGAAGAATTGGCCAACATGCGCAACTTAGTGAGATATTATCTGATGTATACCCAGAGGAATAAGTAGTGGTGCTCCTTTCATGTACAATGTGTCAAAATGCATTCTACTGTAATGTGTTAATTAGAACAAACAAATAAACAAATAAATAAGGCAGGGGGAAATAACTCAATGGTAAAGTGCCTTTTAGTTCAATACCCAGGATGGGGTGGGGGGTAAGAGATGATATGAGAACTTGCAGCTCAGTCTGTCCCCAGTCCCTTGAGAGTGGGCAACAAGCAAACAAACGGAAAACCAGTGGGGAAGAAGTATAATATAAATTGAACCATCCCTTATTCCCAAATTTGACAAGCTCCAAAATCCAAAACCTTTGTGTAYGGTACCGGGGTGCTCTACTGTAGGACTAAATCCTCATCCATTTTAAATTTTATTTTGAGATACAAGTCTCACTAAGCTATGGAGGCTGGCCTCCAACTTGGATCCTCCTGTTTCAGTCTTCCCAGTCGCTGGGATTATAGGCATGTGCTACTATGCCAGCTAAAATATGAAACTTTTTGAGGACAATGCCAGTACTCAAAAAAACTTCAAATTTCAGAGCCAAGCGCAATGGCACACAGCTGTCATCCCAGTAGCTCAGGAAGCTGATGCTGGAGGATTTCAAATTCAAAGCCAGTCCCAGCAACTTAGTTAGTCCCAAAGCAACTTAGCAAGACTCTGTCTCAAAATAAAAAAAGTAAAAAGGGTTGGGGATGTGGCTCCATGGTTAAGCACCATTGTCAGAAAAAAAAGTTTCAAATTTCAGAGCATTTGGGGTTCATATTAGGTATTTTCAACTAATAAAAGTCTATGTAAACATTCCCAAACCTGAAAAACTCCAAAATTTGAAACACTCTGGTCTAAGAATTTTGGACAAGAAATACTTAAATGTGTACAAGTCAAATCCTATTAGTAATAACAAATACAATAAAATATCTCTATGTAACAAATGGATTTCAAAGTCTTCAGTCTCAATGAGAAAACTAAAGCAATTTCTAGTTGTTTGGTTGAAGATTTGGCTTGTTTAGAAACTGCAGCTCTATCAAAAGCAACATTTGAAGGCAGTTTGAAGAACAGACTATGTATCCAATTGCAAAACTAAGAGTTAGTGGGAGAGCTTCCCCAGCAAGTCTCTTCAGAGGACAGTTCAATCCCAGATTTGACTAAAACCAATGGTTACAAACAATAATTCTAGTTTGATAAAGTAACTGTAGAGTAGTGGTAAATTTGTAATGTAGCTTTTCAAAAAGATCATTCAAACTCATCAGATTTCAGAGTGGTATCAGTCTCATAAACCATAACTAGAGTCCAGTCCTGGAGAGATGGGAAGGTATAGAGAAAATTAAACTCTTTCCCCTGCAATAAATTATGTCCACTTACTTCCAATATCATAAGACGTAAAAGAGTTTTCTACTTAATTTTTCTAGGCTAATAAATCAAACTACACTATAGCAAATACATAACTAGGTTTGTTCAAAATTTTTAATATTCTTCAATACTAAAAATTTTATTCTACATTCTTAAAGTTAGCCAGATGACTATCTCTGTAAAAAAAAAAAATTAAAAAAAAATACTTCATACATTTTAATTCCTCAGTTTAAGGGAAAAAAAAAAAGAGTCCCCTTTTTTGGGCTTCTAGAAATGTAAATTAACGTGGAGGTAAAGCTTCTCTGTCCCTGAACAAATCAGAGCAACAAAGGAACCAGCATTCAAAGAACCAATCCAGACTCACAATACGAACCCTAACCAAAACCCAAAAGCTTGAATCAGACCAATTTGGGAATGTCTTCTTTGTACTTGGCTTCGTTCTAACTCTATTGGGAAGTAACTATCATCAAAAAATCTGATAAGTTGGGGCTGGGGATGTGGCTCAAGCGGTAGCGCGCTCGTCTGGCATGCGTGCAGCCTGGGTTCGATCCTCAGCACCACATACCAACAAAGATGTTGTGTCCGCCGAAAACTAAAAAATAAATATTAAAAATTCTCTTTAAAAAAAAAAAAATCTGATAAGTCAAAACACTACCATAGGACTTATTGAGCAGTCCAGGCAGGGTATTAAAAATACAAAAGACAGGGCTGGCACTGGAGCTCAGTGGTCCAGCGCTTACCTAGCAAGTGTGAGGCACTGGGTTCGCTACTCAGCACCTCATAAAAATAAATAAATAAAAGGCACTGTGTCTATTTACGATACACACACACACACACACACATACACAAAAGACAAAACAAAACTCATTTCACACACAGCAATTTTTCTGAACACTTAATGAATTCTCTCATTTTATCCTGACAACAACTCTATGGAATAGGAATGGTCTTGTCACTCCCTTTTACAGATGAGGAAAGAGGTTTAAAAAGCTGAAGTTCAGGCAAATGGTCACACACCCATAAGTGGCAGTTAGGATGTGGCCTCTAACTCCTCTTTCTTGTGCTACTTCTATAGAAGACCTGGTTGCTTTACAATTATTAGCCTCATTCTCACAGCATCTCTCACAAAATRGCAAATAAGTAACTTTATAACCTGCTACAGAAGTAGCTAAGACATCTATAGGATAGGCAGTTAAAAACAAGCTTAGCCAGGCAAGATAGCAAAAGTCTGTAATCCCAGCAGCTCTGAAGGCTGAGGCAGGAAGACCACCCAGTTCAAAGCTAGCCTCAGCAAAAGTGAGGCACTAAGCAACTTAATGAGCCCCTCTCTAAATACAAAATAGGGCTGGGGATGTGGCTCAGTGGTCAAGTGCCTCTGAGTTCAATCCCTCGTACCTAAAAAAAAAACAAAAAACAAGCTTGCTTTATCTTATCCAATATGTAGAGAAATTGATTTAATGCCACTTTCAGAATTCAAAACTTTGTCCTAAACCTCTGCTCATTAGTGTGAAGAAAAAGAAGATGGTAGAAGGACCTTCTATGCCATTGATTCATTTAACTTTTGACAAATCTCAATCATCTTATCCTTTGCTCTCTGAATAATTAAGTATTTGTTAAAAGATTGCTAACATCTGACTTTTGGGAAAAAACCTGATCAAAGATCCTCATAATGGTAATTGCTTCCAAAATAAAATTTGGCAGAAGTGTGCATCTAATTAAACATACAATTAGTAGAAAAATAAAGGGCTTTGACCCAATGATTTGACCTAAATACAAATAAATTTTCCTAGAGCCAAATGTTTTATAAGTTCTCATTAGAACATTTCCAATCATTTTATGTTTATTTTTTGGTGTTTAGGACTGAACCCAGGACCTTGAGCCTGGTAAGCATGTGCTCTACCAATTTTAAATATGTGACACAAAATGCATCTGCAAATTGCCAAGCCAAGAGCACTTATTGAGCTTTTGTCTGGTCCCAGGGTCTACGTTTTGTTTAGGGATACAATATACTTGTCAGATCAACCTGAATGGTATGCCACCTATCCTAAGACAATGGATAATTTAACCTTGTAAATTTCTCTACCAATAGATTGGGCATAAAACCACCTATCTCTAAAGTATGTTGTAAGAATAAAATAATGGATGTACATCTTTCAGCACAATGCCCAACACAAAAGGTAAGTCTTTAGGGTCAAGCTATTGATTACCAGAATGAACTTGGCATTTTCTTGGTATGTCTAATAGAATGTCCTCACACTACAATATACAATTATGTTTTAATGTTTACAATGTTTTATAGGATGTTTACAAACATCCTATAAAAGCAGCAGGTCATCAGAATAAGATTGAGTTTACATTATAARAACAACTCATACATTGCAGCCAGGTTCAGACTGCTTTAGAAAGTAATTTTTTTGGAAAGTAATTTCTTTGAATACCATGATTATTTTTTCTATGTGCCTTTGCACCAAATGAACAACTGAAAAAGTTTTTACATACAAYTGAATACAGATTACCTTTATTAGCAGTGTTATTGTGGTTTTGTGACTGAAGGGACTGGTCTTAGTTTCCAAGGGGATATTGTCTCTTGACAGACTTATTATGTTACTAAGTCTAAAATCCTGTTTTTAAATGAGATGCTTGTTCCCTTCCAAAAAGGGACTATGGAGGATAGGTGGAACTGAATGCTTCCAAACTTTTCATTAGTGAAGAGTGTGTTCAAAAACATGTGCACATATTATGCATACACGTGGTACTTTGCCATCACATTTTAGGATTCCCACGTTGGAGGGAATCAATTACTGGTATTTGTAGACAATGGGTGAAAAAGATGGCTTCAGGCGATTTGAGTTACTCCAGTTTTCTCCATCTTCTGCTACTCTGCAGCCCCATCTCAACCTTTCCTCAYCTTATTGCCACAATACCCTATCTCTCCCCAACCCCTTACTTTCTAGCCCACCATAGGGTTTTCCTCCAGATGGATTCTCCTCCCATTTCCCCCCACCTTTGCCACCCTTGGCCCCCTTCCACTCTTTCAACTAGAGCTACGAACATTTCCCTATTTCTAGTCCCGTCCACTTTCTGGAACTCCTCAATCCGCTCTCCCCCTCCTTCTCCAACCCGCTCCCAACTACCCCAGACTTTTACAGATCTGCCAACATGTTTAACCCCTTCACTTTCCAGCCACTGAAACTATTCTTCCTTTCCAGTTCCTTAAACTGTCTTCCTCTACACACCCCATTGGAGTGGTCTTCCTTATCATTCACCCTCTTCCCAAAGATTCCTTTTTAAAAGACCTTCCTCTACCACCCTCATTATCCAAAATGTTCATGAAATTCTAAGCTTCTCCAGGACCCCACCCCACTCATCTATCGGCTTCACTCCACCCACAAAAGAACCTGGAATTGCTCTCCAATCACCCTCCAATCTTCATCTCTTCCAACAGCCTCTCCAACCCACATGATTTAAAATGTCCCTTAGAACAAACCTCACAATTCTAGCACCCCCCCCCCCGCCCCGCAAAGTCGCTATTCCCGCTACTTTCTGGGTTCAGGTTCCATTCCGCTCCAGCAAGCCTCGCGATCTAGGCTCCCTCCCGACCCGGGGAAGAGCCCCTTCCCGCACATACCTCGAGGTCCAGGCCCGCGCCGCCCCCTTCTCCGTCCTCCGCCCGCGCTAGGCCACCCTTTCCGCTCTTCTCCCGCTCCGCCCCSCTAGTTCCCTTCCTTCCTTCCCTCCCTCCGCCTTCCGTCTCCCCGCTGCTCCCTGCCCCCACATCTCTCGGCCCTCCCGCCCCCGGGCCCGGGTGGGTTCACCCCCACCTCTGTGCTGCCTCCCCGCTTCCCTCCCCTTGTCCTGCCGCCCCTCCCCCGCCCTGCCGCTCCCCGCCCCTCGGCTCGCCATTCTTCTCCCAGAGTCGCGCGCCCCGCCCGGCCCCGGCTCCCTAGCTTTCCGCTCCCTCGCGCCCTCGCCCCCGTCTCCGACTCGGGCTTCACTCCCCGCAGCCTCCCGCGCCCCCCGCCCGCGGCCTGACCTGCAATGGCGGCCGCCGAGCGCGGCGCCGCGCGGCCAACGGGCGACAACCGAACCTCCCGCCGCCGTCGCCGCCGCCGCGAGCACTGCCTGCGCACTTCCGGCCTCGAGCCGGGAGCATTTCCGGGGCAGAGCTTGAGAGCGCGCGCGCACGTGGGGCTGGGGCGGAGAGAGGCGAGCTCTGGGGCAGGCGGTCGTCCGGCCGCGGTGAGTCGGGGAAGGGGCGTGGGAAGAAGGTGTGAGAACCGAGTCCCGAGGGGTGCGGCCTGGGGGGGCCGACGCCCCGCAGAGCTCGCCAATTCCTTTGTCCGGAGGCGAGTGGTGACTACTTCGTAGACCCCGGGAGGAAAGGGAAGGGGTGGCGAAGACCTCGCRCGCTCTTCAGACTGACTCTCTTGGCGCGGCCAGTGAAGGCCGAATGCTCCGTGCTCTACTTTTGGGTTTCTAACCTTGAAGGTGGATGAGAGAGGGGCGGACCTGATCCTGTCCCTGCCCTGGTCCTGTAGTTGACGGCTAGGTACCAGACCAGACAGCCAGAGTAAATCACCGAGTTCTGTCTCTTCCTCCCSGTAAGGAGCTCTGGGTTTCCCCTTAGCTATCAGCCCCACGTCACTACCTTAGTCGGGTCTGTGATTTGCCAACTCAGCATTCAGTAGAATTGGGGAGAGGGGCTTACTAAAATTCAGATTTTTAAACATCCCTCACTCCACCCTGAGAGGTTGGAATTCTGGAACTGTGAGCAGGGCCCTTTGGAGTTTATTTGCCGAAATCCTTATTCGAACTATCCTGAGCTTTCTGGAGATTGATAAGATTCTTGCATGGGGCGTGAAAGCATCATTAGATATTTAGGAATGAATTTCAGTGAGATTTAGTTGGAGCCTTCCATCCAAAACAGTAACAATACGAAACTGAATACATGTGACACTTAATGTTAAACAATAATTACTCTTTTTCCCCTTCCTAGGAATGGGTGAATTTAAGGTCCATCGAGTACGTTTCTTTAATTATGTACCACCAGGGATCCGTTGTGTGGCTTACAATAACCAGTCAAACAGATTGGCTGTTTCACGAACAGATGGCACTGTGGAAATTTATAACTTGTCAGCAAACTACTTTCAAGAGAAAGTAAGTCATTTGGGAGCCTGATTTGGTGTTTCTGATGTTAATTTTCTTCTTAAGTTCAATTCTACAACTTGTAAGTCTTATATTTAAAGAAATCAAATTATTTCCTACCCCTTGTGGTAGTTGTAGAACTTCAGAATTTCTATAATAATCATGATATTTATTGTCTGATAGAGAAGCTCAGAGTTTTGACCTGTGTGATATTGATTAGAAAGATTCTAACTAGGGCTGGGGTTGTGGCTCAGAGGTAGAGCCATCGCCTAGCATGTGCSAGGCACTGGGTTCAATCCTCAGCACCACATAAAAATAAAAAATAAAGATATTGTGTCCACCTATAACTAAAAAATATTTTAAAAAATAGATCCTACCTAGATTATTGGCATATCACTGCTTATCGTTTGGACACAGCTTTATTGGATCTTTTGGCCACAACAAGAAGGGAAATTGTGTGGACCATTGTAACTTGATAAGAAAATATTTCCTGCTGGTGGTGTCAGTACCTGTTTCATTGTCAATTTAGAAGAAATGAAACATTTAAATAAAAAACATATATATATATATATTTTTTGTTGGACACAATATATTTTATCTATTTATTTTTGTGTGGTGCTGAGGAGCAAACCCAGGGCCTTGCATGTGCTAGGCAAGCGCTCTACTACTGAGCCACAACCCCAGCCCTCAAAAACTCTTTGATGACAGAAGTTGTGTTTCTAAGTTTAGCTGTCTGAGAGAATGTGGATTTAAATGCTATACTACATTTGGAAGTAAAGAATATTTAATTAGATAAAACATCCTTTGGATATATACTGAGATCTGTTAGGCAGCACTATTTTTTTTTTTTTAAGGATACCAACTACTGATATTCTTCAGATGCAACATCTGATTCAATTCACAAGAGAACAGATGGGTGAATGAGTGGATTCAGTGTCCAGCAGCCTCTTTCCTGGAATTTAGACATCTGTAAATGTTTCTAAATGAATGAGTAGCAAGTACTGAGCATTAAGACATACATCAGAAACCCTTCCTTCCCAAAGCTCAGAGAAAAGTGGAAGAAAGATCAGTATATAGACAATTTCTGATTAATAACTAAAACCTTAGTGGAAAAGTACCTTACTCTGAGAGGAGGGTTAGGAAACCCCTGAGGAACTAATAGAAGTATAAAAATCGCCTCTCATTGCCAACCACAGATAGGTTACTTTCTACTGTGTGAAAATGTGCTCTGTGCACATTTGTTGCATCCTTGATTTTTTTCCATTTGTCATATATAACAAGTGTAATTATATGATTTGTGTATTTGTTTGGTGTCCTTCCCTGTTAAACTTCACATTTTGTAAGAATAGGAACCATGTTAGTTATGTTCATGACTAGTCCTATCATTTAGTAAATGACCCTCAATTTCTTTTTAAAAATTCATTCAGGGCTGGGTTGTGGCTCAGTGGTAGAGCCCTCACCTAGCACATGTGAGGCACTGGGTTCTATCCTCAGCACCACATAAAAATAAAAAAAGGTATTGTGTCCACCTACAACTAAAAAACAAATATATTTTTTTAATATTTATTTTTTAGTTTTCGGTGGACACAACATCTTTATTTTTTATTTTTATATGGTGCTGAGGATCGAACCCAGCGCCCTGCACATGCCAGGCAAGCGCGCTACTGCTTGAGCCACATCCCCAGTCCCTAAAAAACAAATATTTAAAAAGAAATTCATTCAGTAAAATGGCATGCGTGTGGCCCAGGTTCAATCCTCAGCACCACATACAAACAAAGATGTTCTGTCTGCCGAAAACTAAAAAAAATATATATATATTAAAAAATTCTCTCCCTCTCTCTCTCTCTCAAAAAAAAAAAAATTAAGCTTAGGAGCTAGGGATATAGCTCAGTTGGTAGAGAGCTTGCCTCACATACACAAGGCCCTGCGTTCAATCCCCAGCACCACCAAAAAAAAAAAAAAAAATTAGCTGGGTGTGGTGGCAAATATCTGTGATCCTATTGACGATTCTATTGACTCTGGAGGCTGAAGCAGGAGAATTGCAAATTTGAGGTCAGCCTCACTAACATGGGCCCTAAGAACTTAGCAAGACCCCAGACCCCATCTTCATATATATATTTAAATTGTTAATGGACTTTTATTCACTTATTTGTATGTGGTGCTGAGAATTGAACCCAGTGCCTCACGTGTGCTAGGCAAGTGCGCTACCACTGAGCCACAACCCCAACCCCAAGACCCCATCTTAAAATAAAAAGTACAAAGGACYAGAGATGTGGCTCAGTGGTTAAACACTGCTGGGTTCAATCCCTAATACTCCCCTTCCCCCCAATTTAAGCTTAATGTAACTTTTTTTAAAAAACATTTATTTAGTTGTATATGAACACACGGTGTCTTTATATATTTTATGTGGTGCTGAAGATTGAACCCAGTACTTCATACATGTGAGGAGAGCACTTTACTTCTGAGCTACAGCCTTAGCACTTAATGTAACTTTTTTGTTTTATAAACGTTCCAGACAAAATACATTGTACAACTGTACAGTGTTTCTTTGTATCCTTATTTTATACATTTAAAAAAAWTTTTTTTAAACATTTCTTTGGGCTAGGGTTGTAGCTCAGTGGTAGAGTGCTCACATTGCATGTATGAGGCACTGGGTTCAATCCCCAGTACCACATAAAAATAAAATGAAGATATTGTGTCCACTTAAAACTAAAAAATTAAAAAATAAAAAAACTGAGATATCTGGGCTGGGGTTGTGGCTCAGTGGTAGAGCACTTCCCTGGCATGTATGAGGCACTGGGTTCAATCCCCAGTACCACATAAAAATAAAATGAAGATATTGTGTCCACTTAAAACTAAAAAATTAAAAAATAAAAAAACTGAGATATCTGGGCTGGGGTTGTGGCTCAGTGGTAGAGCACTTCCCTGGCATGTGTGAGGCACTGGGTTCGATCCTTAGCACCACATAAAAATAAAGGTATTGTGTTCACTTACAACTAAAAAAATTTTTTTTTAAAGAAAGAAACTGAGATATTTATTGTGTAGCATAGTTGTAACTGCCTATTGAAGAATAATTCAGAGAACCAATAGTCTAAAACAAGAAAACTGTTCATATGCATGCACGTTACAGTAAGACCATCACCCAATCAAGATAGTTGCATTCTTTTTAGGAAATTAGATACATTGAGTACAATTGAATACCTCAAACCAAACTTGAATATATTTTATTTTGAATCCCAGGTAGCTTAACTATTGAGCTGCATCCCTAGCTCCTTTTCATATTTTATCTAGAGACAGGGTCTCACTAAGTTACTCCCTAAGTCGCTGAGGCTGGCTTTGAATTCAATGACCAGCCTGCCTCAGCTTCCTGAGCTGCTGAGATTATAGGCGTGCACTGCCATGCCTGGCAAAAGAGTTTTATTGCACTAGTTCTAATTAAAAAAGAAGAAAGGGCTGGGGATGTGGCTCAAGCRGTAGCGCGCTCGCCTGGCTTGCGTGCGGCCCGGGTTCGCTCCTCAGCACCACATACAAACAATGATGTTCTGTCTGCCGGAAACTAAAAAATAAATATTTTTTTAAAAAGGAAGAATGAACGTTATACAGAGTAATTTTAAGTAACTACATTTGAACCTGATAAAAAGTCAAAATGCCTAATAGATGTGATCTTCTGATAGAACAAATCCCACGCTATTTATTTGTAGAGAAGTAATTTTCACCATGTTGCCTATACTCAATCAATGCTGATGACTGATGCATTTATCACAGGTTAAGTTCTGGTGTTTGTGTAGTTTTTCCCAGGTCATGAGTCTCGAGCTACAGAAGCTCTGTGTTGGGCAGAAGGACAGCGACTCTTTAGTGCTGGACTCAATGGAGAAATCCTTGAGTATGACTTACAGGCATTAAATGTCAAGTATGCCTTGGATGCCTTTGGAGGACCTATTTGGAGTATGACTGCCAG